ATATATATATATATATATAGCACGACGAGTTGCAGCCTCGAGTACATGAGCTGAAGCAATGATATGATAGGAGCGGGTCATGCATCGCATTACTATCTCACGAAGGTAATCCGACGAGTCCATGCCAACCCGTTTAGGCCTTAGGCGAGATTACTACATATCGTGTGTGATAATTACGAAGAGAATTTTGAGATTTGAAGAGAAGGACACTGTCCTGCAACGGGGCGCCGCCATAAATCGCGTCATATCAGCGCATGTCTGAGAAGAAAAGTCGGGTAAGGGAGGGCGGGCGAAACAGCTAGACCAACGGGCTGATGTGCCATGAGGTATATTTGCAACTTGGTGTCCCATGGTCAATTCAGTCGACCATGGTGGACATAACCTTATGCCTGCGCTTTGTTGCGCGACGAGTCTTCTCGGGCTTCCGCTGCCGACAGTGGACTGGACTATGCTGCTAGCAGTGAGCGGAAAGAGGGTAGAGGCGTCGATGCTGGGACCGACGGCGATAGGCCGCACTTGAGGTTGTTCCCTGCATCGGCGGGAGCGCCAGGACCCGATTGACCCCCGCGAGCGCTGGGCAGGGGGGTGGGAGAGATCTCGGCGAGTGGATGTCCAGTGGGCTTTGCCTGCCGCCGATGTGGTTGCGCGAGGACAGAGCGTGAGGGCAACACGATGCGACTCGCGAGCGTTGTCGAGGATCTGTGGGGAGGCCGCGGACAGAGAGGTCGCGGAGTTGGGCGGCGAAGGCCGACTCGGATGCGTTACGCGACTTGGCCGGCCGCCTCATAAGAGCGGCCCCCGGGATATTGGTGCTGCCGCATTTCTCCTCCCGCCTTCGCCTCCGCTTTGAGTCGGAGACGCCCCCGCGCGCGCCGCACGCAGCTCAGCGAACCCGACAGCCAAGCTAGTATGTGAGCCGACGGTGTTGTGCTCGCTGTGTGCGTCGTTGACCATGTCCTCTCCCCCACAGTCGGCGCCATCGCCAGCGCGAACGGCGCTCAGGGGCATCTGCCTTCCGAACAGCTCCTAGCCTTTTCTCAATCCCAACACGTGTGCTAAGCGTCTGTCAAGCCTCATTTGGAGCGCATCGTTCCCTGCTCGCTGCCGCGCTTCTTTTGCAATCACTTCTCTCCTCTCCCTCTCACCCCCACCCCCGACCATGGGCGATAGTAATCCAGATGGCGACGATCACCAAAGCCCCCATCCTCAGAACGACTCCGTTCAACCACAGATGACGATGCACCCCGTCACCTACTCCAGCATGCCCATGCACATGTATCCCTTCCCGCCTGGTGCCGTCCCCAGTAGCCAACCGCCTCGCACCAAGCGCCGGCAAGTCAAGAACGCTTGCACCAACTGCCAGAAAGCTTGCAAGAAATGCGACGACGCTCGCCCGTGCCTCCGTTGCGTCAAGTACGGTATCGCAGAGGAATGTGTCGATTCCCAAAGAAAGGAACGGCAGAAAGGGATTAAGAGAGGGCCTTACAAGAAGCGCGATGGAAAGAGTAAGCGTCCTCCTACTTTCTACCTATCGTCGCGTAGAGTGACGGTTTCTTCCTCTTTCCCGTCTTGGTCTAAACGGGTCGCGCAGCCAGCAGCGTCGAGCAACAAGCCGACGTCGGCGCCCAGTCGGCCATGGTCATGCCGCCTGCAGTCGCTGCAACAAGCGCGACTCCGCCCATTCCCTATGTCGCGCCGTACACGCCCTTCTACGGGCAGTACCCCGCCACACACGTTCCCAAGTCCGGTGACGGTCCAGTTTATGTGCCACAGTTGTTTTATGCGCCCATTGCGGCACCACAGCCCATGCCTCCGAATCATGGAGTGGGACAAGACGGTGAGCCCACAGGCTATGCACCGCCGCCATACTACCCAGTCTTCCATGCGCCTTATCCAGCGCAGTACGCGGCACCGTACATGATGCAGGCACCGCCCCGTCCTGAGGGGCAGATGGCGCTACCTGCGCCTTCGCACCACCCCCATCACTATGCCCCGTACCCTCAAATGTATCCTAAGCCTCCATCTAGGGGTCCTGAACTTGGTGGCCAGATGATGGACGGCAGAAGAGACATCCGCCTCGAGGGCGGGAGGATGGCTGATGCTATGCATGGTGGACATGGGAAGTCCGGGTGAACAAATGATTTGTAAGTGCGTCACCGCAACATGCCCTGATTTCCTGTTGACGGCGACGTAGTAGTTCTTGCAATATATAGGATTTCTTGTTTGCTCTCATATGCTGGTGCTCGTGCCCTGCTCGGTTATGTGCTGCTGTCGCTTCCTCCCTCGTGGCTACGCGCGAGGTGTACACTAGATTTGTTGTCCACGTTGTACTATATTTGTGCTTCAACAAGTTGAACATTGGATGTCCCAATCAAATGTGTACGGTGTGATTCAAATTCAGAGATCTCAGTGATGAGGCCAAATGATTTGGATAATATTGGCTCATTATTCACGTTTGTGTATATTAGAAAAAACGCAGTGATATACATAGATTCTGGCCTAGTAAAGCGACCGCGCACAGCTGTCGTCTGTGATACCCATTTGCGCGAGACAAGCTTTCAGACTGGTCAGTACTGCGTTGGATCTAGAGCGGTAGTCAATGAGTGATTTGCAATGTGGAGAAGATTAGACAGTGCTGATGGCCGGGAGGATATTCGCTGGCTTGGGAATGCGGAATGGGAGGAAATGTTGCATCTCCGCGCGTTGGATTGGCACAGGACCCCCACTCAGCGAACCGCCGCCGTGCCCAAGGATTCGGTTTGCTGGACATTGACGCCGTCCAGCAACCGGGATTGCGCGGGGAAAGCTGATAGAAGCCCGTGCACGCCGTGCTGGAAATTATATTATTTTCATTTCCTTTCATTACGTTCGGTCCGCAATCAGGTGTCGCGTCCTGCGATTGTTTCCAGCGACACCAGCAGGCTTTGCTGATCTTGTTGCTCCTGCTGCTACACATCGTTAAAGCTGCGCTCGCCTGCTATTGATCGTTGTCTTGCATCGTCGTATCAGCTTGCTCGAAATTTGAGATCAATTTCTCTGGGCAAAGGTTTGGTCCACGGTTGGTCATGCTGTTACATGAAAGCACCTTTGAGACTGGAAATTGTCTCGCCGATGCAACACAGTGGCAACTGGAAGCGAGATGAAACGCTCCTCTTCCTCCGGGCAGCGAGAACAGCACACTTCCACAATCCAACATGGATCTTGGTGGATTAGGTTCCTGGGGCCTCGGCGCGCTCTCGTGTGCCGCTGGATGAGCAATATGATGCAGTTAACATTTGATGTTCACAGCGAAAGACGGGACTGGATGCGAGGTTGGAGATCATATGGCTGCAGGAGGGTACTGAGGGAGAGGCTTGTCTGCCAACGGCGACACCGACGAAAGAGAGTCGAATGTGGGATTAGGGTTTGTATCGCTGCAGGAGGGCACCGAGGGTGAGACATCTGCCACTGAAGATCAGCGTCGTGGTGGGAGGAAGAGGGGGAATGCTTCGAATGTACATTTCACGCCTAAGGTAGGTGCATGGTTTTTGCTAGGAGAGCTCGCCTTGAATCAGAGGACGCTGCAGTATTTCATACTATGCCGACGTTGTCAACCTCAATAGGGGAAAGAAGGTTTGAACGACCACATGGACAATATCAAGATTGTATCTGAAAACGTTAACTTTGTCCGTCAGATCCAGATTGAGCTATATGTATCAGTACTCACGATATCCTTCTCCTGCCCACCGTGCATGCATCCGTGTGTAACAACACTTCATCTTCCAAGTGAGTGGTTACAGTCGTCATAGTGCATATATTTGCATACAGAGGTACCGCAGGTCATGCCCGTGTCTTGTGTGTTCGGCTGTTCATAGCCTCGGATGTTGGTTCGCGCTGCCAACTCGCCGGAGCAGCTGTAGTTGTTTACAAAAAGGGCAAGCTCGCGAGGACGACTAACGAAGACATCTTCAAACGAGAAGCCGTAGGGATAGTCTGTGGACATTGACCTGCCAATTGTCCTCCTGTGAGCCGGAGGTTGGTTTGTGGGATAGCATCTGGTACATCAAAACAACAGGACCGCGGAACTGGCAGATATTGGAGCTACGCTGTCGGCCAGGAATTTCAGGTCCGCATCGCCGCGATGATGGGCCTCAAGATCCCCGACCGACATAGGCAGAATAGCGCCAACGGAATCAACGAGCTAATTCTGTCGACCTGATGATTTTGATGACGCAGATATCACGGTAATCATCGAAGTGACCAGAGTGCGGGATCCGTCGTACTGAGTGTATGGGCATGGCTACGATCCCTCCCTGCACATTCGACTGATTTGAGTAGTGTAACCAGAACATATAACGCGCTGGCACCCCGGAACAAACCCGCCCAGGTTCCATCGTTCAATTATGTCTGTGTTCATGCATCAATGCTTGAAGGCAATACTGGGCCATGCTCTCTGTATCGCTGCCTGTCACATATCACGCATCCAGCTCTTTTGGCCTCCAGTCTGGCGTGCAGCATATTTCACTGATAGGCTGACGACAGCCAATCCTGGTTGGCTTTTCGACTCCCGAAAAGTATGGCGACCGCGGGGACACTGATAAGGCTATCGACAGAGCACAATCATGCTCTTCAATAACGAACCATGTCGAGACGGTCACATGAAAGATGGTGGTCGAAGTTCGGGAGGTTGGGTGTATTGTGGTCTGTGAAGCCGGCGTGATGGTGCGTCTGCATGCGAGCCCATGTTTTCGAACTAATCCAATACCATCGTACCACCTCTCGACTATGATCAGCGCTTCATGTTCAAGTGGTGTCTTGTACGAAGAGGTGGTCGACATCCAAATTGGCTTGGGCAAACCCATACATCCACGACCTATATCAGCTTTCAGGGAATGGAGCACGCGACATGGGAAGAGCACATACCAGTGATAAGCCCGATCTTTTTCAATGATTTTACACCACCCAGACCCAAATCGGCTAGTCATCCTTTGACTGTCGTAGGCCGTTCAGAGATTGTCTTCGATGCAACACGCTCCGACGGCGATACCAAGCACGATCATGAACTATAGGAGGCTGGAGGGATGGTGTGACCAGAGGAGTAACAGGGAAGACATCGCGGCTAGGAGTTGCGGGTCAAGACGACGAAGCATGATGGACCAGTCGAGGCATAATGCGGACTCGCGGGTGACAAAGCCAGTTGGATTCTCTATCTCCAAGCAGAATTGCCAGCCGGGCTCCTTGGGATTTACTCCTTGCGGCCGACGATGAGGCTAGGAAGGTTCCATCTTTGCTCGCATCACAGCTCTCCCAGTGGAATGATTGATACAGACCGTCTGCCGATGCAGTTCTACACCGGTCGAAAGCAAGAGACCCAAGAAATCGCTCGGCGGATATGTACTCAGGCGCGCTGGTATCTCCTTCTGACTTGTTCGGGCGTCGATCCGTCGAGATGGTTGTACTTTCTGGCAAACCCGTTGGTCTGAACGCTCTTGTGTGCCTTGAACGGGTCGAACGAACATGTTAACACCAAGGGGGGGGGGATGAGAGACATCTTGTGGGGAGGGAAGAGTTTTGTATGACTTTTTTGATGGTCACAGGCAATGCACTCACAATTTCCACCCAGCTGATCCAGATGGTCTGACTCTTATCTATCCATGAACCTGCGGATCGCCTGCAACACCTCTCCACTCCACCTTCTACGCTTGCATGCATATTTCTTGACGACGTTCACTTCATACGAGTCCTAGGGCGCGTTCGCATGTTCGCGAGCGTTGTTTGCCATCGGTGGCGACATATGTAGACAGTAACTGTCATGGAGAATGTCTGAATACTGGAGACTGTGGCGATGGTGAACCCAGCACACTGGGTGTCAATTATGGCCCTTGACTTGTCTATCGATATCCCTGGGACTAGAGCGCACGGATCATGCGCGGGCTATTCTGCGGGCTTGATGAATCTTCCGCGTATAGAATATGAAGACAGAACCGAATTTCCGCGGCTTTGTCTTGACGCGAACCACGCCATAGCGAGGGGGGGAGGGTGAGGCAGAAAGCTGGACAGGGTGATACGTTCTATGGGTGAGACCCTGACTGAAGTTTGCAGTTCGAAGTTGACGTTGGCACTTATATTTTCCGATCGCGGGTGCCATTGGATTTCGTGCTGCGAATGCGCAAGCCTTGGAGCTTCAATACATCCTAGCGGAGGCAAAATGTTCACTTCCCCGTCATCCGACCGCTCGCTGATGTCCTTGCGCGTTTATTCCTGCTGACTCCATATCCGCGACCAGCTCGGCGAGTGTTCCGAAGTTGACTCTCCGGGGATCCTTCCTACTGAGCGTAGCGCGAAAGCAGGGGCCCGCGTGACATGGTCGTCATTCTTCTGTACTTCAAAGCATGCTGATCGTGCTGATGTCGATGAGTTTGAATATCGCTCGAATAGCCTGTGGCTGGTAGAAGAGCTTGTTGGATATCATGCGTATTGTTAAGATTGGCGACTACGCACCACCAGCCCTTCACTCGTGTCTATCATCCCGTCTCCAATAATCGCACATATATAGCCGGTGGGGGAAGAGGAACTAAGCGCGAGTAATCGACGTGGATTTCGAGGTATGTGAGAAATATTGTCGTGTGCTCTAGTATCAACTGTTCGAAACTCTAGGCTTCGCAGCAATCACGAGTAGTTAAATTGAGATGAAGCAATGTGGTTGGAAGGTTTCGGAGCCGGATGGCGATGCTGTTTCCCCTGGGAGGGGTGACTCTGGATCGTGTAAGGGATGCGACTTCAAGTCACCTAATAGTTGTGGGATACCAGTCTCGACTTAGAAATGGGCCTTTCGACCGATGATGATCGACCCCTTACAATCGACAGTGGCGAGTGACATGAGGCTTGGCTCCCCCTATTTGCGAACGAAATGAGAACGGATACCAGGGCAATAGACAAGAAACTGGCAAGCTGGAATAGTAAAGCAAACTGGAGGCTCAAAGACATGCTACAGCAAGTGCCTAATTGATTCTTTTATGTTTTTTTGCTAAATGATTGCATTGCGACGTTCATCTAGCCTGAATATCTAGGATTGGACGGTCTACATATGATCTTCCGTCTTAATCGTCTTCACGGAATCGTGGCGGGAAGAATGAGGTACATTCACCCTTATCGCTGATTTTTACTCGCCACTGTGGCACGTTGCTACGATTGTCGGAGCTCGGTGGCTGGACTGACCCGCCTGTAACAAGACCGCGTGTTTGGCGGCTGAGATCACCACGGTTAACCAGTCCTAATTTGATTTACATAGCACCAAGCCCCACCTCAGCCCAGCCCACGATCTCCACCACAACGCGGCTCTAATTTCAATCTCTCATTGGACCTTACCCTTGAAGTCCCACTCTATTCAGTGTTGTCTCATATTATAATTCCTCCACGTATATTCGTTGTGCATCTCTATATCCTACTCTTTATATCCCACTCCGTAACTGTCAAAATATCTCAATCGGAAAATATTTCCAACGGCACGAACAGAACGCCAAAAATGAATCAAAGCTTCACGTCGCGCCGCCTGGACACCACCAGGATTGCACCCTCTATTCTTCGACTTCAATTACTCTTTGCTTCAGTAACGGACTTTTGTCTTCGCGCCCGCTCAATAACACCATACTCAGGATCTGCTTTGACCCCCTGCCTTGACAATGACCTTTCTTCACAAACCTCCGCCTGTGGTTGAAAGGAAACGGACGTCATGAGTGGGTATCACTACATACGATGTTTTTCTTCTCCATCACACCGCTGACACCATGTGTCCAGGCTTCCAACGAGCCACACATCTGTATATGCCTGGGACGAGGAATGAGATCGAGAGTCTTGGTCATGCACCGGTATGCAGTTTCTCACATGTCGGCCATTTACCTCTTAATCTGAGCCCTGAACGAGATATCTACGCTCAGAGCTGCACTGTACATGGCCAACATGGCTTGCGTACTCCACACACGAATTGCCCCGGGCCGCATAGGACATGTATTTATCACTCACAATCACGAGTCATAAAGCATGATGAATGACACGAACATAAATGATTTATTCCTGAGAAAGAAGTCGTCGGGATATTTTTACCCAGAATTCTTCGAGAGACATAGCTCCAGGCAAGCAACTGCCTCATTCATGCGCGAACGCTCGCTAAATTCGTATCTCCAGCATGCCATCATAACCTCCCATACATCGTCCTCGGGCATAGCAAAATCCTGGGGTCTCATCGGCACATTTTTCTTCTGCATGGCCAGGATGACATGCGCCCGCCGCCTTACATTTTCCCATGGCTTACGCAGCGTAAAACACTCTAACATTGTCATATCAAACGACCAAGCATCGCATTCCCTCGTAGGCACCATGACGCTTGTATCGAATATGAGTTCTGGAGCTAGCCACCGCGTTGAGTCGCTTCGCGTCAAAGTCATCGATGGCGGTATCTCGGTTATGTCTCCGATTATTGTAGACATTCCGAAGTCGCTGACACAGGCTTCAAACTAACAGTCGAAGGTCGGCTTTAGATGTGCTTTGCACAGCAAAATATAGATGAACCTGTTTGTTGACTAAGATGTTTGCCTTTAGAGATATTATTGATTTTGGTAGTACGTCCGAATAGAGGTACGCACACATCTCACTGGGATTACGCGCGGTCAGCAACAATGAAAACCTGATGGTCAAGACATACCATTCCCGTGCACGATGCCTTCTCGGTGAAGATAGGCTAGACCTTGGGCGGCGCCGAGTAACTGCGATAAGTGTTGAAAGCGAGCTGGATACTCCCAACATATGCGAATCTCTTACCATTCCTGTTCTCTCAGCTGATTGAGATGGTTTTAAGCTACCGGCGCCACCTGGTTCGAGATACCTGAAGCAGCATTATAATGCATGATCCGAGTCAACCAGGAGTAGTCACGAACTGGAAAAGATTTCCATTGGATTGCCACGGAGATACCTAGTAGCAGGTGTCAAGCTCGAGCAAACAAGAAATTGATCGGAAGACGGACAACGTGAATATATGGGCCCATATCCAACAGAATACCGTACAACGGCTGGATATGATGATGACGCAGTTGCTCCCATATCTTGATTTCGTTGATGAAGCGCTATCATCCGCAATTCATAAGTATCCAGCGTAGAACGAGACGGATTCGCACTGACGGACTCAGCCCTCTCATTACCGCAACACCCTGTAGCACTTTCAGAGCAACCTTGTAGCAAAACCTCAAGGTGAGTGGTAGGATTATAACGTATGAAACGCGCAGTACTGACCACTTCACCTCCAAGCCAAATCCCCCTCCACACTTCACTATGACTGCCTCTCTCAACAGGCAGCTCGCCTTCCTTGATAACTTCGCCATCCAGTCGCTTGATTGTAGGCGGGATTCCCGTGAGCTGGTGGAGTTGTACTAAGCCATTACTATAGCGCTCACGCTCCTGTGCGCTCAATACATTGTGGTTCGAATTCCTAGAAAGGAGCTATGATTTTGGGTAAGGAGTACGGTGGATGCGACAAGCGGAACAAAAGTACCAATTGCCCCAGTTCCATGAGGTGCCTTGCTAAAGGATATCCTCCTTCTCGTGCAAGCTCCTCTACCTGCTTCGAGTCCTGTAAGATTTGCAAAACCATATTGTCTAACTCCTTTTTGTCTTTGAGCTGTGCATCCTCTTTTTTGGCGGATAGCGCCTGCATGACTTCGTTATGGTGCTGTACTTGTGTATTGCTTACTGCAACATATGCCTGAATCTGGTATATATCGTCAGTGTCTGTACTGTCATTCCGACAGACTCGAGAAGATACATACGGAGAAATTCATTTGTGCTCGGGTCATCTTTGAAATAGATTGATTCAGTCCATTTGTAATGTCCCCATCGTGTACTGGATTCGATCATGCGAAATGAAAGAACGAGCAGAGCGAGACGCTCACACTTACTCCATGCCTTAACACGGTTATACTGGGACCAGAGAGCTATGCGGCTGCGAATTCCGTCTAGTTCCCTGTCTGGATGTCAGGCGTCTTCTTCGAGTGTATAGTTTAGAACGTACAGCTCTAATGTGTCTGCGGCCTCACGAAGCTGGGGAGATCCTATTAGAGGGAGACTCTGCAACTGAGGCTGCAAATGGACAAGACTGTCCAGAAGCAGTTCGCACTGAAACTTAGAAGATGCGGTTAGTGACTATTGCATCATTATCTACCAGTCGGAGGTACATACCCTATGCGAGGCTACTTGCTGAGAGTACGCATGGATTGCTGAGATCACTGATGCTATAGTCCCAAGGCAGGGGATGCCGCTTAGATCCCCAGCAAGCTTAGATGCATCAATAATAACTGTGTCCATGCCCGCAGTGGAGACAGCGAAGAGAATAGCAAACTGCAGTGAACCATCTCGAAGGCGTCCGAGTAGGATTCAAGTTCACAGGCCACCACATCGAGACACGAGAAGTCGTCGATAGCCGCTGACCACATAGATACCCTCCCTGGGCTCAACGTTCAACGGCTGGAAACGAGACATGATGT